CCATTCATTTGGAAATGGAGATAAAAAATAATTGATAACTCACGAATAAAATTCAATAGCAATTAAGATAAATGAACAAATAATATTGAAATGGAAAAATTATTTCCAGGTTTCCCCCTAGAATTATACCTCTATTGGGAAAAAAAGTTGCGGGAACCTCTCCCTGTAGACATCCTGAATTTATCACTCGGTCTGTGGTAATATATTTTTTTTAACATCGCAAAGTTTTCTCATTTTTCATAGCATCCGTCGTACCACGAGTTCTGATTATCACCCTGAAGGTCATGGCTTCCGCCGATCGATCGAGTTCAATCTCAAGCACACCCGAGGTCTGTAATTGGGTATCACCAACTATACAATCACTTCCCCGTAGTTACCAAGTAAATTACCTGGGAAATGCATCGATGTGTCAAATTGTTTTATGGTTCTTAGTTGCGTAAAGGAAACTAAAATAAACGGGAGAGACAAGTTTACTTGAACCAGTGAGAAGCATTAAGTGATCAAACCGCACGCCCACTCCTAATTAATCAAAGTAAATGATAATTTCGGGTTGAATAAGACATGTGCTGATAACAGCATGAGAGTTGGGATTGCTCACATCAAATTGGATTTTCCAAGTCCATTTGATATCTCCTGACAAAATTATACCAATTCCATGGATCAATGGTATCACCATTATTATTGTTATAATGTGAACTTTCAAATTAACTTTCAAATCAAGTTTAATTGCTTAATGGTTGTTCATTTGAAGAAAAATTGTAAAGCGTCTTTTTAGTAGAAAATTAATGAATTCTAAAATTTCAGTTGTTGCGATTGTGGAATCGGTCCATTAATAATTTATCAACGATCACTTTTGTTGTCTACCCATTATTATATGGAAATAGTAATTAATTATTTCAGACTTTTCTCAGAAATCGAGTGCGAAGAAATTGGTCGCGTATGTGTGAACTCTTTTGACTATTTATTTATTTATTTAAAGGTGAATGTTCGAGAAAAGGTATACCCATTGCGTAAAGTTACTCCAATAATTTAAAATAGTTATTGATTTTTCCAAAATGATCTTTAGTCATTAAACTGGAAAGCTTGATGTACAATCTGGAAATTCATATAGAGTTCGCACAAATTGTGAAAGATGCTTGGATATTCCCAGAACCCATTTGATCCCAAGTTTTCGAACCTTTTGCAATTATTTTCTTTCTTCAAACTTTGAAGGTCTTAATTTGATGCCTCATTTTCAATCGTTAAGGAAAACTCTTCAAATCCATAATGTATTGAGAAGTCTGCTTTCGGCGAAAAGTACATCAAATAAAATGAAAATTGCAATTTAGAAAATTAAAACTATTCATTCTCCTGTCAATACCTATTTCTTATAATTGTACCGAAATTAATGTAGAGCGCAAGAATTACCGATAATTCCCAAGATATTAAACAATTCCAATTCGTTATTTAAAGGAAGCAACTGTTTAAAAAAGAATGTGAATAGCAATAGTGATATATTTTTTCTCAAATCTTATATATATGCATATAACTTTTTTTAAATTCCAAGAATTCCTCATATTTATATACATCTATATTCTAATTATTGAAGAACAGTAATTTTCATAAACTAAACTATGTAGTGAAAAAGGGTAAAACGTTTCGTTGCATCTGGATTTTTGATAACAGAATGAACGAGTAGATGTGGCCATGAACAGGTCGACGAAAAATTCATTAGCATTAAAAAATGATAGTGTGGGTGGAAGCAGCCACGAGTTTTAAATCGCCAAAAAAGACCACACGATGCGTGTGAAAAGAGCATCCACCAGTGAATGAATCCCACCCCACGTGGTAGAAAATAATCACCACATTGATGGTGAAAGTTCAAGGCTTTGAAACCAATGGATCGATCCAATCTACCTCCGATTATATTGCACACTGGTAAATCCACTAGGCTGAATTCGCCCAATTGTCCATCAGTATTATCAAGCATTTCTCTATGAAATAACTGTAGGTTGCCATGTGTTGGTTGTGTGCCAACTGTAACGCGAGAGTATTCCCATCGGAATTCCCATCAACCCATAAAAGCCCAGATACCAAGGGGTGGCAGAGGTACTCGATGATTTTACGCCCATGACACGGAGGCCCCTCTGGATGAGGGTGTGTCCGTGAAAGGGTGGGCACAAAAACCAGGAGAGGGATGAGAAAATGGGGAGTAGGAGAGGTTTGTGGTGGTGGTTGTCTGGATCAATACCATGCCACCCCTATTCTTCGGGTTGTACGTTCACCAGACGAGTCCACCACTTGTTTCGAGTCTCGTGTACTTGTACTTGAAACCATTCTTTTTTTTCTTATTTTTTTTTCACCTACCCCTACTCCTTTCAACGTCTATCCTATCCCCTGCATGCCCTTATGCCCGTTGGTATTAGGTGAAGAGGAACCACTTCGGCGACTCTTGGAGATGTGTCAGAATATGGGGTAAATTCTATGACTAAATATACATTTTTCGTGTCACTTTTTTAGGGAGATGTACTGGTAGGTAGTTTCAAATGTTGAAACGTCATTCTTCCGACTCATTATCGTTGGTATTTCAGTTGTTCAGGGGTTTGTTCTGATACGGAAAAAATATACTTGAATCTAGTAGATTTTATAGTTGTTTTGAGTATATTATATATATTATACATAAAAGGGGGGATTAATTTGATGGAGTCCATGTTTTTTGTGGAATTATCAATTCTGTCGATTGTGGTTAATCAATTTTTCATAGTTTTCAGCGTTAAGCTGAGTCTTTGTCATTATCAAATTTAATAAACATGCAGAGGTTGTCAGCTATCACAGCGGTCACGTGATATATAGTGTCCTTGAGGGATTTTTTCAGTATTTAATCGCCGTCAATGGATTGATGCGATGAATGGTGTACTCTCATTTCTTGAAAAATTAATCGTTCAACTTGAAATTTTGCATTGACGATGGATCGAATTGAGAAATTTATTGAGAATTCTCGAAAATTTCCCATGATGAGGTATGTGACTTGGAATTGATGAAGATAGAGTACATCGAGATGAATATTTCGAGATGTGGAACGTTGAAATCGGTTGGATAGTTTTCGAAATATTTAAATGATAATTCATTTGCGAGCAAAATTAAAAAATTAAAAAATCGGACGATCACAATGCTTCCCTTCGGAAGCAAAAACATTAAAATAAAAAATTTTGTTGCAGAGGACGAATTGAGTAAACCGACATCTATTACCCTTTTTTAATTATGAAATATTCAGTGGAAAATACGCAGTAAAAACGTTACATAAAAAATTCGAATATAAATCAACTTGAATTCTCACAGAGTTGCTACAGAAGTTGAAAAAAAAATTGGAAGGAAGCCTACGGACAGATTTTTCTAAAAAAATCGTCATAGACATAAAAAATTGTGATAACTCGTGTTATCCTGTAGCGAAGTGCATTTCGACTGAAATTCAGAAGAAAGTGAGAAGTAAAGATCCAAAACGAATAATTCCTTTCAATTCTCAGAATACTACTTAATTGAAATGGCTTTCAAATCGCACCTGTGATATTTTCAACTCGATGCAAACGTTCACACGATGAGAAGGATAACTTTCTTGAATTATCTTTTTCAGTTTTTTACGTGCGATGTTCACGAAATGTTGCTTTCGTCCTTGGCCCCATTTAAAAATAAGGGAAGATCAAGAAAAATCACGTGTCGAGTCACAATTTTATGGTACAAAAAAACCTCATTTTTTCAGAATTCTTCGTGAAAATTTGTGCGTGAAATCACGTGCACATTTCAGGATATAATTTCTCCTTTTTTCCATTCTTTTCTGAAACACATGAACTTCGATTGGGAATTACCTAAGCGTTTATACAATTTATGTAATTTCCCGCGGGTGTGTGACTATTGGGCTCAATAAATAAGTAAATAAATAAACTAATAATTAGATAAATAGAGATAGTAACACCGGAGGAAATAATTTATCCTCTTCGACATCACTACCGTTTAGCCTGCAATCGCCGTTTTCAATATGAGTAATTGGGCAATTAATTGAAAATGGCTGGGTAATGAATCATGGCTGGTGGTCCGTCGTCATTAAATCAACGAGATGTTATTAAATCCAGTGTTTACTATGGGTTACTCCAACAATGCACGGTTATAAATCAGAAGTTTAGGGTGATCTTCTTTAAAAAAAAATATAAAAACCCATCTTTACGGTAAAAGAAAATTACCGGCCGAAATTACCGGTTTTTCAAGTTTCCAAATGACAAATTGTTCATCAGATTGACGCGAAAAATATGTTATTTTCGTATTTTATCATTATTTAATGGCTTCCCAAATTCAATGATGGTGCAATAATTTTTCTAAGTTTTTGCTTCCGAGTGGAAGCTTTGCAATCGACCCAAATAATGTTTCCCATTTTTTGTCATATATCACATCAGTGTAACCCAAGAATTTTGAAAATGCACTTTTTAGGCAGTATCAGAATTCGCGAGTATGTTCCTCATTTATTAGCAAACACAGCTATACTGTCCCTAAACTTTGAAAAAATTGATAAAACTTTGAAAAAACTACAGGAAAATTATAGTGGTCTCATGAAACTCTGAGTGTCATGAAATAATAATGAAATGGAAAAGCGGTGTATTTTCTGGGTCAATCCGTTCAGTAATTTATCAAAAAACTCAAAAAACTGGTAATTTCATTAAGTTATCGCTAATATTTTTTATTTTTCAAGTTTTTCTACAAATTTCTGAGAAACGATTGATAATACCGATGGGCTTTGGGTTTGGGCCACGGTTTCCCAATAATTTATAAAGAACATGAAAAGCGAGAAGAAATCGGCAATAGCGCCTTGAAGAATAGCCAGAAATAAGCGCAAACGATTCGCTGGAGTTTTCTAAAGGTAATTTGGAGGGTTTCAGGGATACGAGTTAACTCGAGTTCAAGTAGTAATGTTGTTTTTCAAAGTGTGTGGTTTTAGGTACAAGCAGTGTAGAAATTGGGTTTAGATAACTCACGTTTTCCTCGACGGTCTTCTTGATCTTCACACTCGCTTCAACGACAGATTTTCCAGCTTTGTTGACAGCACTGTACAGGAAGCCACCGAAGCTCTTGGCACCAGCTAATGCTTTCGTTGAAACTGCAAAAGAGATAAAAATGAGAAAAATTGAAAATAAGGAACAATCACACAGTCATGATATGAAATTTCATGTGGACTTTTGAGAGGAGACGGAAAGTGAGAAGTAAAATTGGAGATGTGTTCACAGTTCATGAAGCTCTAGTCCTCCTCACCCAGCTTTCTTGGGAGATTTTCACAGCAGGAGGTCGAGTCAGGATTATCCTTACTGACCTAGAATCACATGTTCTTTTATGAACTTTGGCATCGCCTGGTGCTTTTGGTTTTTTTCCATTTTCAAGATTTTTCTCGTTGGATTTCTCCTCACCCGACTCTCTTTATCGTGGGTGAATAAATTATGGTATTTTAAGCGAGGCCTTGCCTTTTCCTTCAGTGAAATTAGAGATTATAGAGTCGCAAAGCTTATGGGAGACAAGAATTTTCACGGGTAAAAGAGTTTTTTTTATTAAATTTTGAAATATTTCTAGACGACTTTGTCGGTGAAATGATCTTTCTCTAGGCAGAATCTCTATCCACAAACGTTTCACATTCTTTTACTGCATTCGCGTTTTTGTATTTTATGTAGTGGATGAAATAAATTGGCAGAAATAAATGATCCCTCACTGCAACTTCAACTGAATTAAAACTTCAAAAAAATTATTAATCAATAAAACTTCATTGTCTGAAATCGACGACTCATGGAAAAATTAGGGGGTTCAATTTCCACAGAATACATCTCCCAGTATCTCTAGTAAATGTGAAATATCAGAATTTTATGATCGCAGACTCTTCTGAGTATTCCATACCACTTGAAGGACGTAACTATCTAACGAGAACTTTCTAAGGGCTGTTAAGGACCAGACGAGAACTTGCAAAATATTTGATAGTTCATAGTAGCATGCTTCACAAAATGATCATGGATCCGAAGAGAAAGGAAACTAGCCAAATAAAACGAGTAGAGAAAGTTTCCAAAACGTGGTTAATTTACTTCTCTAAAATTCTACGCCATCGATGAACCTGAGTTCGCCACGTACCAAGTGAGCAGTTTTGAATCAATAACCAGTCTTGTGTTTTATGACGAAAGAAAAGAGGGTCTTTATATTCAATGATAAGTTTCACGGAAGACGCTGGGGCTTTCCTCAGATAAATAATTAAGGAGATGGCGAGGGTCTGTTGTTTCGTGTTCAATTATCTCATGGAAATTTTAAAAGTAAAACAGGAAAAAGCACCCAGCAGAGCCTAAGCCATTATTTTCTTATTATTATCTCCTTCCCAAAACAGTTTCCACTTTTGTAATAATGGAACTGTTGATTGTTCGAGAAAAAATAATAATTTTGAGATTTTCATTAGCAACTACTCTATCTCTATTCCGGTCCTGCTAACTATCAACATTTCCCTCGACCGTACTGAGAGCAAAAAAAAAATCTTTTCATTGGTACTATAACATACTATCTTTTCTTCAAGTCTGCAATAAATGCCATTCATCTTAAATTATTAAAAAGTAGTTGATGTAGAATTCAATACTTATCCCCCCTTTTGTTCTCAGTAATTATAACCACCTCAGCATGTTTTGTATCTAGAGTAGAAGCAGATTGGATATGGAAATTAGGTTGCGTATGTAGGATGGAAAGTTTCCCTCGAAATTCTGGGTAATTTTGTGGGATAAACAACTACAGGGGTGACGTCGCCTAGTTTGGTGTCTAATTGTCTAATGGACACTCCTTGGGCTCAGACAAATTGGTGGATAAATCTTCTGAGCCCTCAGATAATTGCGTTCATTACAACATTTTTACCTTTATAAAAAAAAATCTCATTTTATCAGCAATGAGTATATTATTTCCCTTGTACCAAGTTCCCACTCTAGCATACTTCATCCCAAAAAATGTCTTTTCAATGGAACAATTTTCTCCTCGACTCCCTATTGAATGCTCTATTCACTTTGTAGAGCAAAAAGCTAAAATAAGGTTCAGTGCTTTCCTTCACCCCCAAGAACTATAATCACTACACCATTTTTTCTCCATTCTTCAAGTTCTTCGGTGAATTAGACTTTTTTTCTAGGTCTTCTAAAATTATTAATAATTGGTACAAACAAGTGCTTTGATACTTATTATTAAAATTATTTCCGACTGTGACTTTCCATAGGTTTTTAAATTATATTATTATTAAATTAAGTTATTTATAATTGTAAATGAAATTATTTAGACGTTCAATATTTCGGAGGTTCACGGCAAAAGAAGTGACTAAACGAAATAAGTTTGTGTCTCAAATTTTCACGTAAATTGGTCACTTTAGGGAAGAAAAATGAATAGCAGAATGGAAACATGTAATTTTACTAGCGTTAGACAGTTTTCCGAGCGGTCGGGCGTTACTTCGCAAATTTGAGTGAAAATACGACCCTTTTTACTCAACATACTTTTGACAATATTGATTTTCTTCTAAATACCCAATATGTTGAATATGTTGGGTGAAACACATCGGTAGTATGTGAACCCGTTTCTCTGACACCATGCAAATTTTGAACATACCCCAGATTGTTTATGGAGAATAGCAATTTACCCCAGAGACCAGTGCTTTTGTGAGGTAAACTATTAGAGAGATATTTCATGTTCAGCTGTCTCATGGGAATTTCTACGGGTAAAATTACCAGATGAGAAATTTCATGAGCAGTCTGAGCCATGGAACAATTTTCTCTGCAAGATGATTCGACTTTCTTTATAATAGAATCGTGAAGATTCCAGAAAGAAATGATTAATTTTCAGGTTTTTATTAGTAATTATTATTATACTAGTAAGCATTCCATTTTTTTAAGATCGAATTTTCTTCGCGACATCTTCAAAGTCAAAGATATCCTTTGAATGATACCTTTTTCTCTCTTACTTCTCCGTAATATCTATCATGTGAATTGAAAAATCAGAAGAGAGTTCCTTCTCGTTTCCTTCGTGCTAACAACAAGAACCAACTGACGAAATTATCTGAATTCTCTAACCTGAAGTGATAATCTATCCATCTGGATTTAGAAAACAGATTGTGTGGTCTGAAGAGAAAGTTCCCAGAGATTTCAACCCTGTAGTCAAATAAACAATTAGAGACATGTTTCGTGTTTAATTGTTCCATGAGAATTTCTGGGATGAAGATAACAAAATGAAAAAGCTTGAACAATTAAATAATTGTCTTCACAAAATAATTCAAGCTTTGTAACAATTGAAGCTTCTAGATTCTCAGAAGGAATGGAGTTTTCATATTTTCATTACCATCTACTCCATTCGCAACATTATCAAAGCTAGAAGATATCTTTTCAATGACGCTATCTTCCCTCAACTCTTGTCTCTGAATGTTATCCAGTGTGAAGATGAAAAAGTAGCCAAGGCTGGATTCAACACTTCTCTTTTCCCTCGTGCCCCCAATAACTATAACCATTCCACTATGTTCCTTGATTTTCCCGAGTGACAGCGTAATGGTGTAGGTGTTTGGTATTGATCGTGGATGGACCCATCCCCCACACGACACAGAAAGACCACCTCTCGTCGACTGAATTCGTTTCAATAGCGAATTCTCATGAGGGAATCTCTCCTCGACTGTTTCCCTAAGGCTAACACCATTGACGATTGGGACTTTCGATATCCACTGGCGATATCAGTCATCAGAGTCAGAAAGGTGTATCAACAGAATCATGGCAGATTACCTGGCGAATCTCTGAGGCCAGAGAAGAAATTACGTGTGAAATATTTGTCTAGTCTTTTCCCCTTCTTGCTGGTCACAACTGTCAGAATTCACTGGCATTTGGGCCAACCCACTAGAGCAAGAGTATCGATTTTTTTCTTCACCCCCAGTACTTTTGAGATTTACGAGAATCTTCCACTGAATATCGTAACCCGGTTTTTTTACCGTCTTTAGACGATCGAAGGAAGAAAATGATGCATTCAAAATGTTTAAACATTTTTTATTGCGAGACATCACGTGGGTGATGCCATTAAATAGTTATGCATAGTAGACAGAGGAAAATTAAATGGATAAATCAACATTATGAGAGTTGGATTGAGTAAATGAAGATAAATGCTTCAATGAAGTTAAATGAACCGAAAAACTTCTGAAGGCAAATATGAATCTAACAGTGAATTCAGACGAATGAATCTTCTTCATTTTCTTCCTGTCTTTTGGAATTTCCTGCTGAATATATGAAATTTTACGGAAAACATACGCGTTTTCAGTAATTTTTCCTACTGTGTCTATATTGAAAAGGATTTATAGGAAACCTAAACTAGAATTGCCCCGTTATGCAGAGACTCTTTATTGGCTATTTGTCAGCTATCGAAAAGAATATTCGACGACTAGAAGTGAGTTAAATCCCCAAGCACTCAGTTCCTCCTTTTGATACTACAAATACTTGGAAATCTCATGAAAATTTTATTCCCATGTCCGGCAGCAGTTCTACTCTCACATCCCCTCGAATTCCAAGAATACAAAGAGAATTCGTTTGTGGGTATAAAACGGAATACCAAGGGACTGCTCTGAGAAATCCCAGAATACACACACCATATACAAAACAATTTTCATAGACACTGGATGATACGAGAATGAAAAATAATGGTTTTTACCAGGAGTATTTCACTGAATCCCTAGGAAATCTTGAAGTAATTTCTATATATCGCCGTTAAGTAAATCGGTATGTTTGCGTTACGAGTTTGTGGAAGTTATATCGTAAATTGTTCTACTCGTGTTACTCCATGTGAACAATGATAAATTTCAGTGAATGTAGATCTTATGCTTCGATTGACACATCGGAGGGAATAATGGAGAGTTGAGGTCAATATTCCACGTAACCACCGAGTTTATGGTTGAGAAAAGCTACACATTCATAACTCTGTTAATTCATATATCAAAACCCCCAGACACATGTGTGTGTCGTTCTGTTGGCAAATGGCCGATATACCTGTAATTAATAGTAATTGTGAGGTCAATATTCCAATGTACCTCAGATCAGAAACTCCATGCCTTATTAGTGGTGAGCTTATTCTACTGTTCACTTGTGGCTTCGATCATCAACTCTAACCATTTTTACCACAGATATTCCAAACGTGAAGGCTACGGATGCATAATATATCTCTTATTCACTTGAACTCATAAATTTTGACTCCTAAAAAATACATGTGCAGGATAAATTGAAGTATTTCAAACACTTTTTGAAAGACACATAAGAGACATATTGACATAGGGGATTGCAATCGAATCACGTAGAAAGCTGTACGTGCGATTGCACATCTATCTAGTTCAAATACATTGGAAAAAAGTAATGATGAAAGTCACATAGGTGTTAACTCAGAAGTGCTTGATCTAAATGGAAGTATGGGCTCTTATTATAAATTGGATTGATTGGATTGCTCGAGCTTTTAGTAGGGATGATGATAGCTTATGATAGCTACGATAGTTTAAAATTGGATTCAACTGATCAAAATTATCGGTTCTACATTTTTTCCTTCCGAATTCGAGCTATTCAATCCATTATTTTTTCGGCTTCAATCATTACTTTAAATATTACTTCAATTATTGTTTTTTCGAATTTCTAATTTTGCCTGAAAATTTCGATTAAAAAAACGAACAATTCCAAAAAAAGACTAGTTCAAGCGAAAAATCTAAAATTTCATGTAATAAAGGATATTATTTCGGAGTACATCTGGGTTAAATTTCAGATCGATCGGTCGAGTATTTTTTTTAAATATAATTGCAATTGTAATTTGTAATAATTTCAAGAAAGTCTACTTTTTTTTCTAATATCTCAAAAACTACTTTCCTTTTCATAATATTATTTGTAAAATTTCAGTAATTTCCGTAGAATTACAAAAAGAATTTCCGATGAAGTTGTGCAACTAAATGTTAAGAAATAAAATCACACAACTGCAACAAAAGTGTTGCTATTTGGAATGACCCAATTATCTCTTTGCTGAAAGTACATAATCTATTATAATAGTGTGAAATCTCCACAGAAAAATCGACGATATGAATACCTGAACTTGACAGTAACACTGGTAAGTCAAATGGGGGAATATTCGCGTCTCCCCTAGTGAATTCCTCAACAAAAGCCACAAAGCCAAAATAATGGAATAGGACAGACAAATAACTCGAACAACTCACCAGCCCCAAACGCTTGCTGTCCATCTTTGTCCTCTGTTGGTGTACCCTCGAGGCTAGCTGGACCGCTGTCAGCACCGCCAGTCGCACTGTTATATTTCAAATGGAGAAATGGGAGAAAAAGAACATGTGAGTACAAAAGAGAATAGCACAACTGATGGAATGACAATATTAGATTACGAATATGCGAGACTAGGATTGTTCAAACTTGTGGAAGCTTTCTGACCACCAGCGGTGTAGTTTTTACAGAATCCACATACCCTGCAACCCACCTGCTTGCGTCATCGTCTTTTACGTTATCAGGCGATGAGCCCTGTACGCTTTCCCGCGATGTTTGACTCTCATTTGCTTCAGCTGGTGTTTGTCCAACTTCACCACCCTCTTCACCACCAGTACGACCACTTAGGCCAGGTATTCCACCACTCAGCCAGCCAGTCATTTGGGATTTAACACCCGCCAGCATCTCCAACTTGCTACCCTTTGTTGGGCTGAAAATATATTTATTCTTGATTATTCCTTCTCTCTCTTTCATCGTCATTCCGGCATGCTTATTACAGTCTAATTATGTTCAATAGGATAAGGAATTTTGGGGCTCTGTCTAAGCGAGGGATTTTTTTTTTGCAGGGTCGATTGGGTTTTCATTCATGAGAAGACTTGGATGAGTTGACAAAGTTTGTTAGAATGAGACTTGTCGGCCAATAATAATTGGTGAAAAAATTTACTTCATTATTCGCTTGTCCTGCACATCCTGTTTTTGAATTACAGACATTTTTTGTGAATAATTTTGAAAAATGCATAGAATAATAAATATTTTTATTCAATTCCTGTATGCAAATTCAATTTTTGTTAGTAAACAAAATTGCATTGTTTATGCGACTACCCATAAACAAAATTCACAAATTATTCAGAATAAATTTGAAAATTGATTACCAACTCAATGAGCTTTCAAAAATAAACAGATCAGATTGATATGAATTATCATAGATGTTTGTGTGCATTTCCACATCTTTGTACTTTTGAAAATTTATTATGAATACTTTTTGTCTCGTATACCCTTGCGGCTCTTTACAATTTGTTCTCTTCCCCCCCCCCCCCTGTACCGCATTTGCCGAAGGGAGGGAAAAAAGCTGCCCTGGTGCAGTCGTTCTTTTGACAGGACTACCGCTTGGCCGTGAAACTGTGCGATTAGAGCGCTATAAATTTTGACCACCGGTGTCCAGGATCGAACCCGAATCATTGGCATGCTAGTCTAGCACTCTAACCGCATCAAATATTTAATTAATAATTTTTCTGGGTATTGAAGCATAAATAGCGCAATTTTTTATGTAAAAAAATGAATGAATTAGCAACATTGGAGTTGAATTCCCAAAGATTTTTCAATTTCAATAAAAAATAAATTTTTCGCACCAATTATCCATTTTTACATCTAATTCATCGATCGTCCATGCTTAATAAACATTACCCCAATAACGAGCGATTTTTAAAACTCATACTAGTCTTCCCTTAAGAATATCGCTCATAATTATGTGATAAACAATAATAAATTAATTTCAGCCAGGGGCTTATTGGTAATTAGAATATTTTTCTCTACTGCATTGATGAAGAAAGCATGTGTTAGGAGAATAAATAAAACAGTGACTTTCTAATAAATCCTCAAGTGACTTACAATTCCATGATATTGCACTAAAAAACTGTTTGAATATCTCAATTGTTCTAGTGATAAAATAATTCTTTAAGCATGGCGAGTCCCAGCTAGAAATAAACGTAATCATGGAATCAATCGTGAAATAATGAAAGAATAAAACAGAACAAGAGAATGAGTTAAAAATTATTCCATAAATATTTGCATTACCTGAGATGTCAGTAGGAGATAAAAAAAAGTCACGTGTGATTGTTATTCTTTATACGCCCCCTGTCACGCTATGCATTTCTCCATAGCGAGTGCCATAGGCACCTTGGCAATTTACAGAATGGAATATGTAGCATAACCAGTGTGGATAGTTTTATCGTATACGTATAAAGGGTCTCATGCATACTGCATTACAAATAGAGGGCTTCTGGTAAAATCGCCTCACTTCTGGAATACGTTATTCCGAGTAAAATAAATTTTCCTACTTTTGTACAAATCCATGTCCCGTCGCGATTTATACCAATATCCGGAAAATTACTTTCCATTCTCGAGAACCATTTTTTCCTCTCAACCAAGTGTAATTTCGGGCTCGCATTACGATAAGTGGGAAATGAACAGACATCTATGTGAGTATTAAGAATATCCAACTATTTTTTGCTGTTTAAATCGATTTCTATAAATAGAAGTTGTTAAAATAGAAAATATTTTTTGCTTCCGAGTACCAAAATTCAAAAATCAACAAGAGTGAATAATTTGATAAATTGTAGTTTGTATTAATTTTGAAATTTTACACTCTGTAGATAATTTTCTCGGCTCAAATATTGAGGACTAAACGATCGATAATTGGTTGTTGGTAATTATCAATTGTTAGTGGTGGGTCTGATGCGCACGTTTTAAGAAATGGAAAGGAAATTAATTTTCTTAGTGCTTAGATGTCCTCAATTGATTTTCTCTATTCTAGGGAAAAACATTGATCGAATGATATCATGGCACCACTGACGATGCCTCGGTCGTCTTCCCATCCCTCTGGGTTATTTTATAGCCCAACACTATATACGATCCTCTAAAATCCCCTCAGCACTTCACAACTTTGAGCTTTTCCGCTGTGGGACAGTCATCCCACTTCAATTAATCTCGTCTTCTATTCCCAGAGAGCATTTTCCCCCTAGTTTTACTAGAAATAATTTCTCTTTGATGACAACACTGAATTATGGTAAACCGTCAAACTAAAATTATATTCAACTCCACTATTTTTTATTTTGACTTTTCAAGGAAGAATTTGCGTGCAAATAACTCGCCTATTAAAGTTCCCTGACTCGACGTACGCTGATGAGAATATATTTAAGTATTATCATTTATAATTAGTCTTTATTAGAAAAACCAGAGGAATCTTGGAAGCATGAATACATTTTGAGGAATGGAGTGTCGAGTTTTAAGTAGTTTACGTAGAGAAATTGCTTTTTTCCACTCCGGGGAAATACTCCTGGCTGTTGAAAATTTTTGTCTGAATATCCCGATGAGAGGATTGCATAATCCCATCATGTCAAGAATTTAATCCACGTATTTGATAACAATTGGAAGGTTGTTATGCTTGTCCTACATTTTATTAGATAATTACCGACATTGAGTGCAATTTTTTGAGTGAGAGAATAGTCGAGAATTCAGAGTTTTTTCCCTTCAATGGTAGAATTCACTTTCAACTAAAAAATCTGGAAGATCCTAGAAGATCCTACGGAGCTACTCCCAATCATAAAATGTCTCGTAAGCTCCAGATTCAACCGAAAAATTTGAAGATTTATCACTTGGGAAATTGCGATACAAAAAAATTGATTGCAATTCTAGGTGGAGTTATAAAATCCTCAAAATTCAAACAATAAAAAAAATTGCAATTCAAAATTTCAAATTTCATTAAAAAAACGTCAGAAAAGTAAATTTCAATTAGATTATTCTTTAAAGATGAGTAAAAACCATCTGACCTACAAAATCCTCATCTTTCTGCAGATGAAAACCGGGAAAATGGAAAAAGTCTCCCCGTATATAAAATTCATGGACACTCACCTGATTACAAGTCAACCGTCCCTAAAATCTTCTTTTTTCCAACAGAGAATTAAATTATTACTCAGTATAATGCTATAATTAATTCCAATACAGTCCCGGAATTCCAGTGGACAATTAGTACCCAAAGAAATTCCCTCAATTGAATAAATAAAATTCAGCCTGTCATTAACTACAATTTGCTACATACCAGCCAAGATGAGGATAATTATGGACGGATGAGTACCACATGGATAATTAGAGAGCAGATTAAACAATGGAAAATGAGTAATCGGGGTTAGCCGGGTGTAACAGTTCGTGCCATTGGTGGCAAGAAGCCGGCACTGTTTCGCCTCACCCTGGAATCGATATAATGAGAAGATACCATTGTCTATAACCATGTTAATGACATAGTTATCGCCCCTAATTCCCCCATGAACTGTCATTCCCACTGTCGAAACTTCACAGAATCCTTCATCATTGAAGCAAACGATCTGTCATGAAACTCATCATCTCTTTATGCAGAATCGATGGAATTCGGACGAAGAAAATTTCTCCCAAGACCCTGTGGTGCCCCTGTCTTTGACATCAATAGTCATCAACGAGGAAAGCCCCTGAATCGAAGGAGATAGCATGATAAATCGATTTCTGAAGCATTGTTAACCCCCACCTCCTCTTCCCTGAAGAAGCTTTTTACATAATACCACAGGGCTGTCGGTGTCTAGGGGTGATTTCTCGGAGATTCTAGTCTACTTCCCTCGACTTTTTCTGTTTGTGAGCGAGATAAAACCCTATCATTCTTCCTTCAAAACTCGCCACAATGAAGCTGTTGAGTGCCAAATAAAAAAAGTTTATTACTCCATAGAGAAGAAAAATTACAAAACCCTAAGAAAAGGTCGAGAGCGAGAATTCCAATGTCCTTAATAAAAAGGAAGAAATACATTGCCGGGGAATTAAATGAGGAAATGCAACTCTCGGGGAATAGTCTGGCTTAATCGCCCTCGAGGGAGGAGGTCATCTCAAACGTCCCACAAAAAATATATAAAACGACGGAAAAAAATCTTTTACCTCCCACATCCTAGGGGTGTGAACATATCACTGTTTTTTTTCGTCACGAAACCGACACGAACGACTAATTTTTTTTTGACTCGACTAATCGATACCATGAGAATTACCAAGTTTTTACGCAGACACATGTTATCAGCGCGTATTTATTGCTGTCACCGGTGGGATGTGACATTCGTCGAATCATCTAGTTTGACAGGGGGACGGGTGCCCTCGATAATAATAATTATCCATCGATTTTGCTGATGATAATTGATGGGTGATAGCTGGTGATGGGTTTACCTGCTGTCTTTTTTTTCGAGATCCAGCTCCGTTTCCCCCGATGGTGATGCAATTTTTTCTTCTGTCAACTCTCCACCTTCCTCGCCCTTTTTTCCCATCCAAGTCGACACTTGATTCGTTAAACCGGAGAACATTTTTTTACTCTTTGTTACTACTCCGGGCTAATTATCTTTCTATGTTATTGTTTATATTTTATTTTTTTACGAGGATTTGGAACACGAGAGAGGCGGTGCACTGGGGACAAATCAGTCCAGAATTTTGACACTTGAAAATAAATTGAGAATTCACGTTAACCTACAACGAAGACGAGATAAGAAACATTGACGATGTGCTCCCGAGACTCCAGGCTCATGTACTACGTACACATTGGGCCTTTGATTTTTCTTCGTGATGAATGCGCCGAAGTATCTGCGCAATCAGTCGATTTGGGGCGTGCGCAGCGACACGCCGGCCATTTTGTGAACTACAGCTGACCGATAACAGAGCGACTGTCTGCGGTGGGGGTGATCCCCTAAATATTGTTGTTGTCATTCTTTCAGCTTTGTACTTTTTCGAATGGAAGTATTGTATTCGTTAAATCGAAATTTTCTATTTTTCGTGTCAGAATGACCAATTCTAGCCTCAACAATTCAATTATTTTATTTTTAGATCCCATCCGTATGTAAGTTCCTATGTAAATTTCGAGGTGATCGATTGTTGACCGATTGTTTTTCGTCGACAAATCAAAAAACAATTGTTGAAATTCAACTAATTGTGGCTGACAATATTGGCTTCGTTGTCATTTCGATCGATTTACAGCGGATTAGTTTTTCAGGGTATTTATATTTTGAAAGGAGCATGATAAAAATAAAGCCCAAAAATTGAGGATAAAAAAACGGAATAAATATATTGACGTAAAAAATTCGAATTACCCAGATTACGATCAAAAAAGTTTATAAATAACGTGATCTATACATATTATTCTCTTATTGATCAAACGAGTTTCCCTTCAGCAAGAAACCTTCGAGAATGTTTATTGTAGAGCCATATAATAATTATGATTAATGATAATAAAAATAATAATTTTGTCGTTAAATCATATTCTAGGGGAATTTAGTATTTGCGATTCAGGTAAACAACAAATAACTCTAGACTTGACGGGAACATTTCCGGTGGATCCCTTCGACAAAATGCAGAAAATATTGTTGGAAAATAATCTGGAAGTCAGGAAAATAATTGGTCATTCTTTAAATACGATAATTGGTGAAGTTTGCGGTTTTTTCAGTCGTGATGGTTGTTGCATACACCCACACTATGATTCAATTTTTCATCTGTATTGTTTAATTCAAAATTCAATGGAATCGTGAAGGCGAGACGGGAGAAGGAAAATAAAAAAAAGGGAACGAGTGTCTGGAATGAATTTTCTTTCTAAATTTTGGACGGAATTTGACTGAAAGACACAACATTTAAAATGGATGGTAGTTCTGATTCCTCAAGTTCCTTGGAACTTTGAGCAGATCTTCAGAGTGTGTTATGAGTGAGACAGAATATATCATCTGAAAGAAACAGAACAGGACAGGACGGTGATACGACGCATTCAGAAGGAATCGGCGAATGAGAGAAAGAAGAGAATTGGAGGATCTAGTTGGAAAAACAGAGACACCGACTGCAATCAGATTTTCCACTCGAAATTATAATAGGGTGAGTAAATCGATTTTTTTAAGGGTCGTTCTACACCCATCTATAGCTAAAAGTACGGTTTTTTCATTTTTCTAGAAAACTTACTATTGACTTGAAAAAATTGACGTGAAAAAATATAACTTGTTTGCGTTTGACATTATTTAATTACTCACGAAGTTGCAAGGTGGTGGAAAGATTTCTCTGTGTTTTTTCTAAGCTTTTAAAAATGATCAGAAAATTGTAAAGACAATGCATGAAAATGCGGTTTGGGCGTTTTTTGAGGGAATGGATTGAATGAATTTTTTTGAACATTTTCTTGACGATTCCAAGATTAGTAGAAGGAAATTGTCATTCTGCATTTGGAATGGACAGAGTAAGGATTAAATTATTTCAATTGCAACATTTTGTCAACATTAAGGCGAAGAATATATTTTCTTCTGAGCAATAAATTGTCTAAATTGTTTACAATTATCTAGTCAGGCACGTTAAGAATTTCTCATCTTATCAAATTTTTTCTATTATCACGTTCTTTTAGTACACATCCAGGTTGAATTATTTGCACATTCAAAGTTATCTAAAAATGTCGATTTTATTTCTGACTCCGAGATGACAAGATAATTTACAATTACAATTGAATAAAACTGTAATAAACCCGTTGATACGAAATTGAATTAATTCAATAGATTGGCTATCAACAATTAGTAAAAACGGTTGAAAGAGGTAGAACCTTATTTAAATCACGATCATGATACCCGCTCACAATCGCAACTTCTCGATTACCTTTTTATTTTTGTCCTCGTCGACATAATTTGCATTAGATCTTCGCATTAACTAATTTTTATCTCACGAGATTATAAACAGGTGTTTCTCACCTCATGAATTAAAATGAGAAAACGTTTGGTGTTGCGTGATAAGGATACAATGATTACGTGACGATATTTCATGTGAGTTGAAACCGTTTCAATTTGTATCACAGTTGAACGTTTTAATAATTACAACTTCATTCACCTAAGTTTAATGATTCACGATAACCATCTGGTCCAAACGCTCAATGAGATATTCCCCTCGCGTAATTTTCCATTGAGTATAATGAGATTTCTTTCATAAACTCCAGTACCACCAGTTAAATTGGTCTAGCAGAGTATCTGCTGTCGTTCCATTATTTCGTATTACACTAAGAATTCCACAACCTCATTGACTCGATAATCACTATCAACTCAACGCTCGTGTGTAATTAAAACGCACTCGGCAATAACTGTTTAAAAATTCGCTATCTAGGAATGCACGTTTTTTTTTCATTTCTGTTTTTAATCAATGACTGCTCAGCGCTGCTGGAGCTGTCTCTTTCTCCTTTTCTTTTTGCTCGTTCTGATACCTGAAAGAGAATAAAACAATTTAGATCGAACTCTGAATTTTTACTGAAGAAACAATATCATGAGACGATAAAATGAAAACATTTGATATCACGAGTCTGGTAAATTTTCTAGAAGAAAGTCCAGTAGAATTTCTTTGCGTTAAGATTCAGTAAAAAAAATGAAAATTTAATGAATATTCAGTGATGGGGACATAAAAACTAGTGGAGGCATAATGAAAAATTTTTCTGCTGTCCAGTACTCGGTTTTATTACCCAATTTGTGTATTCAGTTTCTGTGGGATTTTCGCTTTGGAATGGAAACTTTGTGATAGTGTATTTTCACGATGTTCTAATTTTGCCTATAAATGGCGTAGATATGTTTTTGCAAAATGAGCATTGTTACGTATATGACATCCTTAATTGGAATCGTTTCTATATTTGTAGTGGAACTTTAAAGTTTCCATTTGAGCTTCCCTTCGCATATAATCTATTTTTTGTTATCTGTGTAAATTCTGTCTTTCATTTCGACATTATGAATTTTAACTTTAGAAATATCAGTTCTTCATGAAAATGGATTCGTGATTTTTAACTATGGTTTAAATTCCGAAAATAATAGTGGCAATTGATTGTTCTATTCTATTTCATTTTCAGTACTTAAAAATTCAGAATTGCTGCCTGAATCTTAATCATTTTTTTTAAGTCCGTTCTCAAAGACACATTATTATATAAAATCAATCGAAAATGATCATTTCGACCACTAATCAATTTTCAATTTTGAAATATTGTGTCTGGAGATGATCCCAACTAAAAATAATCAAATAAATTGATTCCATACAAGAAAATATAGATTATGGGGAGTTTGAATGCATTTTTTTTCCATGGAAAATGACTGCCGAAAAATAACAATATGCTTTGGGAAATACAATTTAAATCTTGCTGAATATGATTTTTTCCCAAAATTGTTGATACTCTATCTGATAATTAAAGCTTGATCAGATCTAATCGAAAATGCTGCGCATCTGACCGGTCAAATTTCCATCCGAAATGTACAATTAAGAGGGATCGATGGCCTCATATACATCACACATGTGTTATTACAAAAGTCATTAAGAAGTCAAGAGTATAAAGGTCGTCAGTTTGATGCAACTCTGGGACAGACAGGAAGTGGGGCTGTTGGTGATAATATTGATATCTTAAGGCAATAATTGAATTTCCCTTCAAATTTCTCTGATTCAGAATAATAAAAAAAAAAGAGAAATAATGTTGAAACATCCAAAGTTCATCAGACGAAACCAAAACAATCAGGACAGTACTCCAAAGTACATTAGACCATTAATTATTAATGAAACTTACTTGACAGCTCTAGCCACTTGATAAAGTGCAGTGAAAGCCACAAACAAATTAACACTGAAGAGACTGTAGTTCTTAGGTGTAATAGCCAATGAATATCTTGTCCATATTAAACCAGTAGCCCCAAGTGCTGCAGATTGGCTCAAAGATATCTTACTAGCTGGTCGTGATAGGTCTCCCAACCCCGCAATAACAAGTCCCTGAAACGTGGAGAGCAGACATTACCTATTGCATAATATCATTCAGAGAATAGAATAATCTATTTTCTAAGAGACTATTTTCCGTGAATACTGACCCATTTGAAAGCTGGCGCCCAAAAGAAAATGGTTTGCGGACCTGAAACCACAGAGATAAATCGATAAAACACGTGCGCCTCAGGTGGCTGTGTTTACCACAGGGTCTCTATCGATTTTCCCACATACAAAACCATGATGAATTACTCGGGAATAAACAAATCTGACATTTGAAAATGTCATGTCACCCATTCTCATCGGTAAAAGGTCAAAAATATTACGGTGAAGAATAAAAAGCGCAAATAAAAGACTTTCTGGAGCATGAACTTGATTTTTTTTTATTCTACATAACTGTGGCCTGCTGACAGCCTTGACCTAATTGGCTCAGCTGCCACCGGATGACAAACAGCTGTGTACAATACGATACAAAAATGTCAGCATTGTCAAGTCTTCCAGCAATCACTCGATCAGGTCAATCTTATGGCGATGGTGAAAATTGATGAATGAAAAGAGGGAAATCACTCACCTGCTGGATGATTCCACATGGGCTGGAGCTTCTCTGGCACCAGCTTGCCGATGGCTTTCATTGAATTCTTGTACACCAGCGACATTTTCTAATCGTTAATGGGACTTTTTTCCTGCAGAGTCACGTGTTTTTGAGAATGGGAATGAGGAAGCACGAGAGTGAAACGCGTCGTGCAACTGAGCAATACCTAGTGACGTTCGTTCCGTTTCCTTCGTTGAGAAACTCGTGGCCCCCCACTACATCCATCACACGTTTATTCACTCTTTCGTCTTTGGCTACTGTTTACCAATGTGATTTTTTTATTGGAGTCTACGGTTGTAGGAAGCAAGGTGGAATCTGAGCTCGATGTTTTCTGACATTAAGATCTGATGATCGTTATCTTTAATGAGTAGATTAGCTCCTTAATGGCTTTATGAATTCGATTCATCGGTTTTTCAAGGAGAATCGGAGAAAAGTTCAGCCTAGAATTTTTTTCTTATCCTATTTCTTACATGATCTATCGGATTAACGCAAAATTATAGTACATTTTTACGTTTTGTCATTATTTAATGGCTCACGAAGTTTCGTGATGGTGCGATCATCTTTATTTGTTCTCGTGATTCTTTTTAAAAAATTTAAAAAACCGCTGGGAAATGTTCGCACACCCACGAAACTTCGTGAGTCATTAAATGAGACGAAACGCAAAAATTTTATATTTTTCACGTCAATCGAACATGAAAAACACGAAAAATGAAAATATAAAAGAAATATAGAAAAAATGGAATTTTCCAATGATTTTGGAAATATTTCCATGGAAGTAAGTGTCCTAGTTTATTTCTCAGATTAAAACATTTTCTGACAAGAATTTTAACACAAAAAAATTGTTCTCAAAGTACTTGCATCTGTAAAAAAATCAAGATTATTCCGGTTGATGTAAAGCTTCGGGGTTGGGAAATGTGAAAGATGTTTACCATTACGTTTGGCATTGGACTATACTTCAATACCAGCTGACTTCCTTTGTGCCAAATAATCCTAGTTCGTGGCTATTTTCAATCTGACAACTGTATTTCGGGATTGCAACTTGTGCCAAGTGCACTGCGGCAACATTGACTTTGACAGGGGTTTAAACTTCCGCATTTGACGGGAGATGTTCATTGCGATTATCGGGTTAGTAAACACTCGGTGATTTTATTGACGATAAGGCAAAGATAAAGCCTATTCCATCACTAAATTCAGTAATCCCTTTCCACGATGATTAAATAATTTGTCAGGAAATTTTGTCGTGAAAAACAATTTTATTCAGAATGCTTTTAACAATTGAATAAAATATACAGACACATATTTAAAAAATTATGTTAACTCGATAATATAAAAAAGATAATTGATTGGTTACATCAATATTCTGTAAATCACATTCACAATTGATTTTTTTTTGCACTAGGCCCGATTGCATCAGCAGCACTTGTTTGATTGATAATGTAGCGTGATTTTCGTATAAAGAAATAATAATAGAAAAATTATTAAAATAATGGAATATCCAGTTCAGTTGTTGCGTTCAAACGTAATTTGTTCAATAGTTTTGCGTTTTAATACTGCATTGCATGCCATGGAAGAGTTGTAAAGATTTAAATTAAAATACGGTATTTTTACGCCACAATAGAACTACATTAATTTTAAGATACTGAAGTATCCATCAGTATAAATTGGAACTGCATTGAAGTAGAATGTATGATTAAAACAAGATATAAAATCAAACGGAATACATGATGAACAAATATTATTCATAGATTACTGAAACGATCCGTGGAAATATCTCCCAATATATAATTGCATATTATCATAATTTCATTCTCTCTGCCTCTACTATTAATTAATTTTATTATTATGGCTTACTAGTGGCTAATGGCTTGAAGGGCGAATGAAATAATTTGCCATTATTACTGGTCAACGATAAAAAAAAATATCTGAGATGTGGAGAACGTGGCAATTTCAGTATTGATAATTGTAAAATAAATGCATTCGTTTTCATATAAATGCGGAATTGCGAGACTCTCGTTGACTAGTGTTCTGAACAAAATAGATCGAATGCAATGGGTTGTTCCAGAACTCTAATCAACAATCGTACAATAGCTACGCAACAATATGTGCAAGAACAAAACAAGAAATGGTTGTTGATTCTTCCTCATATTTCATTGTTTTCTAAGGCACGTATTTTTGTACAGAATAATTGAGAAAGTAGCTATCGTCATTGAGAAACTACATACAAAATATACTAGTGGGGAAAGATGGGAGAAAATGTACACCTGAGAAATTTTTAAAATACTCATCACTCGAAAATAAATCGATCAATTGAGCTCAGTCTCCATTATAAAAGGAAAAATTGTTATCTCGGCGGGAGAAAAATGCATTTAATGAATGATTAAGTAATGATTTGACATTAACACATGAAAAATCAAGTGTCCTTTTCCCCCATGCGTCCTTTAGATTATCTTTAATACATGATTAAAAATCCAAAACAATCTCTCAGAGTTGAATGGACCTATGGAAAATTTATCCGAAGGAAATGCATAAAATATTTTAATATTGTTACACATCACACCTGAAGTACTCCTCTGATATTCCCCTCGTTTGTGAATTTCATGATTAAGAGGAATAAGCACAACGATTTAATTTTGATGCACTGTACAAATCTTTCCCAGAACTATTCGGCATCTTATTTCTTTCAATCACAACATCAGGGCTCACTGAGCAGTTAATTAAAATTGACATACACTCCTCTCTTTCTTTTCTATCGAAGCATTGCCATCGTGATATCACAATCGAAAACATCTTATTAACAATTATTAATTTTTATGATTCTTTGAAAAACTAGAACGTCGTAATCACAGTCCAAATAGTTTGTAAGTGTTGATGGATCCATGGCTATCGACGAGCAAGAATTTTTTAAAGTCACACGAGACACATACCTTTGGCCTGCAACTATGTGGCAACTGAATGAGCCGCAATAAACCAGGATTATTTTGATCTTTAGTCACTTTAGAACACCAGAATTGACGTGTCTTCTCTTCATCACTGTCATTATTCTCGTTGCTAGCATTTTTCTCTAATTTCTCAGTCAATTTTGAGAGATCAGCAGCAGCTGATTGACTCGCTGAGAGTCTCATACTGCCACGAGGACTTATTCCAAATGTTGGAGTGGTTGAACTCCTTGGAATACCAGCACGACTTGGTCTGTTTAATTTTTTATCCTCCTGAAGGAGAGAAATATTCCACCAGGCCATATCCTCGCAGTTGACTGAGAGTAGAATTGGTGCACCAATAGATTCTGGTGCCCAGTGGAGTTGAAGGACTGGATAACAGTGAAGAGACAAATCATTATAGAATCTATTTGAGTAGACGTCGTAAATCTGTGGAGAATCAGAGTGGGAATTAATAAGCTATGCAGTAATCTGTATTTTAGGATTAATTAATAACTCACACTTATCGTGCCGTTATCCATTCCCAAGGCTAATAAAGTGCCATCAGGTGAAAAACTGCCGCAAGTTAGTGATTTTCTGAAATTGTATGCCATAAATCTCTCGATTATAAATTGAACATCGTTCTTTGATTCTTTCTTTTCAATATTATAAATAGCCATCTCTCCTGTAGACTTGAGCAAAGCCAGCATATCTTCTTGCGAATTGAGCGTACTATAACAAACATTGGGGATCATGTGTCCTCTTAATTCAGAAATCTTGGCCCATTCAGTTTCAGAAACTTTCCAAATAATGATTGTTCCAGTGTCCGACACAGTTATAACGTATTCTTTGTCGATAGTATGGAGATTTAGGATGTTCTCAGCAGACAAGGACAATGACAAAATGCCGAGATTCGTAGCAATTTCAATATTTCCATCATTCTTCCAAACAGGCAAATACATATCATTCAATTTCAAAAATCTGATGGGTCCTTTGTACGTGTTGACACTCTGAATCATCCTATCTTGATGGGTTTTGTAATTGAAAATTCTAATCTCATACTTGAAACTATCTAGATGACCAATCTTTTTGACATACAGAACTCTCGGCCCATCTTGGCATACATGAAGATCAACAATATCTCCAACATCAATAGGTTTAGTCTCTGCGATTTGTTCATTTCCCTCGAAAACAAGAATTTTTTTACCCTTTACTTGCGCCACAACATCCAACTGATTGTCGGATTGCATGAGAGCGTCAAATTTGGGAATTCTGACGGACTGAGGCAGATTCGATTCGCATTTGAATGCCCACTTGTACGTCAACCTATTGAGTCCTGCGATGATTGAATGAGAGTCATTGGTAAAATAATAGCTATCGATGCAGTTCATTCTGGTTTTTCCTGAATACACGGCCTTTGGATCGATGGAATTGGGAATACTGTAGACCTTTATAAAACCTTCAGAATCAGCGATCACAATGTATTGATTATCGTGTGTCAATGTTGCAGCCGTAAACTCTGAACCTGGATTAAGCTCTGGATCAATGGACAAAATGATTCTTGTTGAAGGACTTGAAATCGCCCCTAGCTCCGTGTATTTACACTCAAAATGCACCGTTTCCAAATTAGTTACCAAAAGAATTTCTATATCGCTGGAGCGATCAGTCTTGATTTCCTGGAAATAAATGGCTTTCTTCCCTTTCAGGCCCTTTCTCACTTTACCTGTGTCCCTCCCCGGACGGTATATCGACGCATGCTCATACGCGCTATTATTTCTGGGAGAATGAACTATGATAACACCTTCTTCGGCATCGAAGAAGAACAGGAGAGACACTTCATGGACAAACGTTAAAAGGTCTGTTCCGTGCTTTTGCACGTGGGTCGTGCATAGAATTCTTCCATTAATATCCCAAACTCGATAGTAGCCCTTTCGCGTGCAAGCTGCTAATTTTTTATTGTCTCGGGTCAAAGCTATATCTGCAATATCAGTCATTGAGCAATCACTGAGATCATAAGTTGTCCGGCTTTGGTCTTCTGGGATCTTGTGGATATAATTGTATGAGATTTGCTTCTCTCGAGGACTTCTCAGCTGAATGACATCATCATTTGAATTGTTCCCGTACTCTTCAATGTTCAGCGTAAATCGTTTTATGACTCCTTGGTCGTTCAATGCCACGAAGAAGTCTTCCTCTGATGTGAGTGTGTGCCAATAATTTGGTTCATTAACAATGATTTTGGTAATTTTGGATTTTTCATCGTGACCGCAGAATGTAAAATGTCGACGGGTATTTGTGTCCCACAGAATGACGACTCCATGATCGCTACCAAGTAGAATTTTATTTTCATCGTCAGTGAAGTTTACCGTGGTTAATTCTATGGGTACTTCGACCCCATTGTGATGTTCTTCTATTCGATGATGTTGTTCGTGGCATAAGTACAAGTGCATTGATTGGGATTCGGCAAGTTGCTGGGCTGTTTCCTGAAAATACCCGTGGATGTTATGATTCATACCAATTTGAACTAGGTCTAAACACTTTCTCCTCCGATGCTCTGCTAGAATCTTCACTTGAGTGCTCAGAAACTTCTCCACGTCGACTACTTTAGCCTCGACTTCTGCCGAACCTTCAGTGATGTATTTTCGGTATTTCTTGAGATCAATCAGAAGATCATTGATTCCGCTGTTGCAGATTTTTGCATTGATAAAATTGAAGTCCAAATATAAATTTTTGAATTCACTGAACATATTCGCTTGCTCCAGGTGGTGTCCAATGTAGGAGAAACTGTAATTATCTGTGGGCAATTTCGAAAAATCACCTTTGCAGTATACGCGATATTTTTCAATCAAGTTTTTGTGCAGATTTGATAGTTGCTCGGGAGTTAATTTCTTCCGCAAGTAACAAAGGAGGAGATCGTGAACTCCGAAGACGTATGTTTCCAACTCTTTATTCCATTGTCTTGCTGCCAAGGATTTGTGGCAGAGTTCCTGCATCTGTTCGCTTGCTGAGTGAATGGTCTCACCCCATAATATTTCTATGGTTTTGGGACTGATGTTAACGTCTTCACTGAATATTGCCAGACTTTTATAACGATCCCTCGTTGTTTCTGGGAGACGATCAATACACATTTCGAATATAGCTTCTTGTTTTTCTAGTAAATCTTTAACGCTTTTGTTTGTTGCGTCTTTGTTGCGGAGCCATTGCAAGTAATATTTCCAGCGATTTCTTGTACTGTCTTGTGTTAATTCTTCTTTATAATCAGCAAAGTGTGCCGCAAACATATCAATTAGTATTGGCATACCATTGCACTCGTTATGGATCTCTTTAGCTTCTAGAGGTAATTCATGGCTTTCAACGCCTAGAACTTGTCCAAATAAGTTTAAACTTTCAGCTTCTGTAAATCCATGCCTCATCTCAACAATTTCTTTATGTCGTTCTCCCAATACACCCAGGTCTATGGTTATTACCAAGGTCTTGCAGTTGAAATCGAAAGTATCGATGATGGCTTTATCCCAGACATCGTCCAGAACAAGTAGTGCATTGCGATAATCATTGAAATATTTTCCTAAAAATTTTCGCAGCTGGTCTTTACCGAAGCCCGAGTTGTCATCGGTCCAAGTTTGGGGGTCATTTTCTATTTGGTGGTACAAATTATTTAGTTGTTTTAATATTTCATCTTCTAGCCGATCAGTATATGGTGAAACTTTTTCCTTACATCCGAATCTGACCCAGAATATTTGAGACTGAAAAGAACAAAAAAGCTGGTAATTGATCGTCATATCGTGTCAACGATATTTAGCTAGATTTCATAATTTGGTAATTTTTAAAATTACGAATATTCCACGAAAGTTGAATCACATTTTGGAATAAAATTTTCATTTGAATTTTATAAATTCCTCTTTGTTAATGTTGATCTTAACAAAATGAAACATTTTCAAAGAGGGATTTGTTTTTTTATGAAAGATTCCGATATTCGAAAATTTTTATTTCTCAATCATTGAAAATTTCTGAGTGAAAAACATTAAACGTTTCAACGAAAAAAAAACAAAATACCTGGAAATTCTTAATTTTGAAATTAATAGAGTATTGAACACCTACATTAAACAAGTTTCTATGGACGGATGTGTCACTCAAGACGTTGATAGCTAAGCGAGACCTTCCAAATCCTTTCATTCCATGGATAACTACATAACCACGAGGACTGAGTTTTTCCAGTGCATTCGTCAACTGTTGAATCTATGGTGAAAAGTCGTATAATAATTAATAATACTTTTGCATTACCAGCAGTCAACAATATTGTCATCGACTTACTTATTTGATCATCCGTAATAGCAGGCAAATATAACATAATAATTGATCAAATAATACTTGAAATTATTGCGATTAAGAGATTCCAAGTGAAGTAAAGCTTTGTGTAACGCATGATCTTGTCTTATCTATCGAAATTGGTCAAGATGGAATCATTGAATCAATGGCCACGACGGAATAGGAATTAATTAATTAATTAATGACTAAGTGATCATGGGAATTCACCTTTTGCTCTCTGACAACTGTCAAGGGAGAAACTGGTGGCAGTATTGGTATCCTCTCACCCACTGAATCCACGGCATCAGTGCCATCAGCCATGAGCAAGTCATTCATTTCGTTACTCAGCCAAAAGTAATGCTCCTTTAGGGCTTGATGGAATGTCCTGAATGCATTAGGGCCTCGACTGAAAAATAGGTCAGGGGTATCGTTAATAACATAAGGGGCAAAATGGACACCCAGAAAATTTCAAAAAAAGAAGATTAATTTCGTAATACAAATTTTGTCAAATTGTATCAGAACGAAATAGACACTTGGTGGATGAGTAGATGGGTTTATCTTCTATTTATAAATATCTTCTATTTTTCTTTTGCTTAAAATGATTGCCAATTTTAATGTATCGAACAATGAATTTTAAAACTGGATTCGGCTATGGAAATTCGAGAACTATCCGGGACCGAGCCTTCTTTTCCTTAATAAATACCTTGAGAGCAATTTTCAAGGTTAAACCCATCCCCCCACGAATAACGTCGCGTTCAGCGATCTGTCAATCGAATTACGACAAAAATTGAAATGTTGAATTCATACTTGGGTAGGATATCCAGTAAAAATTCAGCTTGTGCCTCCTTCGTTTCCCTAGCTTCTATGTGCGTCAAATCTTCCGGCTTCAAAATGCAGTCTGCTTCCAGCGGTCCAATCACACCATTTGCAACATCCAAATCCTGAACGATTGCCTCGCGTAACTTTATTAGAATATTCCGATGGAATTGCTTCATTCTACGGTTTGAGCTATTCTCGATGCCTGCCTTTGAACATCAGTGATGATAATTCTGTAAAAAATTAATTAGTCTTTAGTACCGAGTGACGTAAACAGACCATAACTTGCACCTGCCACTCTGCCCATTGTCAAAATTCACTAGTATGAACTTCATGACACTCCGGAGCACAGACAAAGAGAGCGACTTTGCAAACAAAAAAAAAACACTATGACTAATTCGCACAGCGTCCAAATGAAAAGAACTTATCTGCATTCCCTAGCGCATTTTCAAGGTATCAAGATATTGGCAATACGAGGAGTGATAAATATTCATTCCGTTTGGCTAAGAATAATTATGAAAAATTTGGGTTTCTTACAGCTGGTTTTAGTCGAGTGCCCGTAGAAAATGTTTATTATATGGATATTCGGCGATTGATCTTTCAATTGTCTATTGCTGGCCTAGACAGAGCAGGGAACTTCACGCACAGCACTACACTGAGCTACGGTATAATCTATAATGGGGTATATGCTCCATCGGCCACATCCCATAAGTTTCGCGCTCTTCAGTGTTCCCTCGAAAACTCCCTGCTGCAGCTCCGACACATCAGAGGTCGCGCGCCTCCATGTCGACGTTGCCAGTGCGCAAATGTGCAACACAGGGGACTTGACTAAAGTCCTTACTATAAGAGACTTCGGATCATCCGAAGGTTCCCCACTCCAATGATAGAAGTTACGAACGGAAAAGTAGCGGGAAGACCCGAAGACCTATCTTTTGAAGTGCAGACTATATTGTGCTCCCCTTGCAGCTCTCCCACTTCTGATGGCCAAGGGAATGGACTGGTCACTGGTCAGTATATATTGCTGACCATTTTAGCCTTCGGTTTTGCATTGAAATATCTCACATTGTAATATTGCTGTATAACGGTAAAATATACACGATACAATATGAGATATTTACAACTGGTCTCGAAAAATTCATGCATTGGATATTTTGTGATTGGCTCAGAAATTTCCTGAGATCATTCACTATCTGCTTCTTATAGATAAAAATAAGGCTTTAGAGTTTTTTGGAATATTTAGTATGCAAACAGTATTGAGTATTGTGTCCACAAAACCGGTTTGTTGACTCATGTTGGGATCTACGAATTCAGAGTGGTGGGGTAAAAATGGAGACCATTCTTATACCGTTGAGACTGGACAAAATGAAGTAAAACTACAGGACGATATTGGGGCATTGGAAACGCGGGAAAATCTTGGATGCACGCAAAGATTAAAGTAGAGGCTCAGTTCTGGGGGTTTGAGTGACCCCAGCGGCATCGTAGTACTGCACCCCAACATTGCGGGTGGCGCTCTCCCTCTCTTGGGGTGCAGTACTATGGTGCCCCTGAGGTCACTCAAACCCCCAGAACTGAGCCTCTATAATTTTATAAATAAATGAGATTATCGTCGGAGAAGGCAATTGCTGTGACGTGGGGACTGGTTCCAACCCATCTATCACATCCACCGCTGAACTATCAAAATTTACATTGAAAAAAAAAAAATGTGCGATGGCCGGGAATCGAACCCGGATCAACTGCTTGGAAGGCAACTATGCTGACCATTACACCACCATCGCACTGATACTTATGTGTATTCTTTACAGCAGCACTTATTACTAGTAAAGGAAGATATGCCTTGATTTTTTTAATAGCAAAAATATTGAATAGTGATCGCATAATAGCACCTCTAATATTAACTTTTAGTTGATTATATTTTGGGAACAATTTTCGTACAAATTCAGATGCAAAACCTTATGGTAACACGAGATGTGACGATCAGCTTCTAGGATGTGCATACAGAGGGCACCAAAATGCAGTTTACGCGCCTGAATTCATTTTTCGGTTTACTGCGGTCCGAGGTAGTAAAATACTTAAAATTTCTCTCACAACGGTCTGATCCATCATCATTAGTGAATGTTTCAATGAGAATAGGATGAGATCCAAGTCAATGGAAACTCTAATCCGACTCCTAGTTGTATCAAACCGTTCAAACCAGTTGATTACAATGCAACGCTCGTACTATTGTTTCCCGCTGTTAAGCTCCTTATCCGTGCAACGATTAGTCCGAAAATCCCACAAAATTGCAAAACTTTCTCCCGGTTTATTCGAAAATATTGATCATAGCAGTCTGCAATACTCTAGCCATCGATTACACATAAATTCCAAATGTACACATGCTTGGTCATCGTTATGTATACGACCAGTCAACAGTATTCACGATGCAAATTCGATTACGTTAGAAATAGCAATTGGGATCGGCCGTTCTGGGCATTAGTCTGTGAGGCTTCGGCTCTTCCATCAATTAATTTGTCCTGGAGGCAGGTTTAACATATTACTGAATTCAAAGCGTAGGAAGGATTTATACGGCAAGGAGTAATAATACTAAGTTAGGTATAGGTACCACTGTGGTATTTCGATAATTCCAGCAATGCTGGCGTTCAAACCGTCTGCATTAAAGAGACACCGGCCAAAATGCCAGTGGTCAAAATGTGGTTTTCGCGCATGGTCCACATAACTTATGACTTCCACAGAAAACGTATATCGTTGGGATAAAATACAGAACACTAATTCAACGCATAACCATTGCGACGATTTACGCAAAGATATTTTATTCAATTTAATTTGTTACTTGCGTTACGAATCATTCGTAATTCTCTAAAACTCATTCGTAACTCGCGATTTAATTATAATACATTGGCTACTATTTGTTGCAGAAAAACATTAAGGTGTACCGAAAATCCCCCGCGAAATATTGTGATATGTTATTGATTTATTGAACTACGAAGTGAAGACAACTTGAGACATTTAATTGCAAAGAAATGGAGGAAATGATGATGCCAGTGGTCAAAATGTGGTTTTCGCGCATGGTCCACATAACTTATGACTTCCACAGAAAACGTATATCATTGGGATAAAATACAGGACACTAATTCAACGCATAACCATTGCGACGATTTACGCAAAGATATTTTATTCAATTTAATTTGTTACTTGCGTTACGAATCATTCGTAATTCTCTAAAACTCATTCGTAACTCGCGATTTAATTATAATACATTGGCGACTATTTGTTGCAGAAAAACATTAAGGTGTACCGAAAATCCCCCGCGAAATATTGTGATAAGTTATTGATTTATTGAACTACGAAGTGAAGACAACGCGAGACATTTGATTGCAAAGAAATGGAGGAAATGATGATGAGTATGAGTTGATGAGTTGTGTTATCTGATCTGATCTATCAATATGTATTAAGGAGTAAGGAATCACGTAAACCTTTTTTTCGTTAATCAATTCAATTAATTGTCATTAATGAAAAGATTTTCACTGGCCCAAACTATTTCATCACTCGAAAAGTCTGGAATAACAATTTTTAATTAGCTTAAAAATTATTTGAGACGTTACACCCATAATCTCATACCTTTTAATTACGAGGAAATACTCGTTAGAGAAATGCCACTACTGGAGGTGCAATTTACACCCCCATTTGATCACTGTCCTTATCAGAACGGCTTATTTGACTATTGCGTGCGGTAATAAACCACAATGTCTCACAATTTTTGCACCCAGAGGCATTTCACAGGAATAGTAAATACCTGGATATTTTAAATTGCGCATTATTGCTCGCAAGACGATTTCTATGCCCAGTAGAACCTATAATTACAAAAGGTACGCCAAGCGTCAGGGTAATTCACTTCAATGATGCTCATACATTTTCTCGATATTTATTTACCATTCATGGAAGTCGTACGTTTGGGTGCAATACACTGGGCACTCGGAATAGCACATCGACGAACATTGCGTGCTACCACCTGGTAAATTCGTATTTTTCTTTTCCCCAGTATTTACGATGCATCTGATAATGCCCCATCCTTCTTGGCAAACGGAATAATTTTTTTAATGAACAAAATCCCTGTTGATAAATTAGTTGAAATGAGGTTTTGGATGTTGCCGATTACTATCACCATTCAGGAAACAATCAAAGATCTTTTACGATTTTATCTGATATATATTTTTTTGAAAAAGTTTTTTGAATTTATTTTTCATTTTCTCTTTCTCGACATCAATATTCTCTCTGTAATAACTCGGATAAAGACAATTGTAAGATGGTAAAATTTTGATATCAAATTCTTTTGTATCGGATAACATTTTATTCGATACTCTATTCAACTATTTACCTTCGGTGCGTACTATAAGCCCGTCATGACGTCACAAAACCCTTTCCCCGAAATCCTATCGAAATATAAAATTTGGTAATTATTCACATGGACTGCGGTCACTCGGAGGCGATTCAAGTTTAAAATTGAAATAATTGGTTCTCATGGCCTGAGGCTTTGGTTAACATTCCAGTAGCCTTGATTTTAGGTGTAAGTAGAGTTGCCCAGTATAGGCAATGTACGACACGTCTGATCCTGAAAGGGACAAAGGTTTCGCATGGCTCAATGGAATATCAGCTATGATATGGAAGATCCACTGTATGGTTGAGAATGGGCTAGTCTAGGGAATGGGAGCTCTGAAGGTGTCTGTTGGATAGGCCTCGAGAATTCGATAGATCCTACCACCGTTGGACACTTCAAACGCTCCCATTGACGTACGCACTCCAGGAATGGCAATCACGCTGATGGGACAATAATACAATTATCACCTGAACGAGAAGAGGATTCTCTCGATAGTGTCGCCATATCTACACAATTAGCGGTGGAATCGAGAGTGCAATAGAAATCCCTGACTGCTGAGTGAGATAGAACCGAGTGAACCTAGCTGGAAGTAAATTAGATATAGCATTCACATATAACAGCATTGGGATGCATGGTATAATGCCATGCAAATATACCTCATGACTCGGCCGAACAGAAATTGCGAGTACGTTAATCCGCTAATGCATCCACTGTCGCTGTAATATTAGATTCAACGAGATTTAACCAACCGTTGTTGAATTCTCGTATGTAGTGTCACACCCTAACGTGTCACTACATCGTCCAGGAGTCCTTCACGTGGGCATGAAAATCAGGTCTGACATTTAGGTACATTGACAGGCAAAAGCAACGGTTTTTTTTAAGAAAAAAAAGAAGTGTGTTTTTATTTGTATGAAGTAGCTCATATGATCGGAAATTTCTAAGACAATGATATCTCGTATCCAGTGAAAACACTTTAGTCAAGAGATTTTGAACTTCTCTCAGTTGGCTTGAGAAAATCTATTTTTATTATTAATAAATAATCGTCATCTTTGAAGCAGGTTGCATAATTACTCGACAGAAGTTCTTTTCTTTTTTGTTTAGAGCAATATATGATTTACTTGACAATTTTTGAGTCGTAAGTTTCGTAATACAATATGTACTTTGTAAAAAAATTTTCCCTCAGTATGTTGTGGACTGGTAAGAGTGGCATCAAACAAGTGACGGAAAATACTCGGTGAGATTTTCTATGAACAATTGATAAAGCTGAATACAGCAAGTCGATTCGCTTCGGCAATATCCCCCAGGGTGAGCAGATATTATTACCATTTAATATCGAAATGTGGAT